GAAATGCACTTCTCTGTGGAGTGTCCAGTACCACAGAATAGCTGAGTGTAGTCATTTCATGGGCACATAGAGCCTACTGCGAATAGAAACGTTGCCAGGATTAATTTTTTTTCTACTATTAAAACTTAAATCATGGGATCTACACCAAGTAGGAAGGGCCCCTTTTTTATCTACAAGGCAGGACTTGAAAATATCGACTGAAGCACTAGGTGTATTTTTGCTTCAGTAATGACTGTAAATGAATAATGCATTGTTTTATCTAAGAGTAACTTACATGATTACCATTTTCTCACTGTTCAGATTTATAATATTTTTTCACAGCTATTCTGATTATGTCTGGTCCAGTAGTGCCAGAAGCCACAGCCAAGATCAGGACTCTGATGTGCCAGACACTGTACATAGAAGTACCAAGAGTCAGTCTGTGCCCCAGAAAGCTTAGACTTTCTAAATATATAAGAAAGTAAAAAATGGGTGAAGAGAGATCTAGAGAGATGTGGTGACCTGCTCAGGATTTCCTGGAGCTGGGAATAAAATCTAGGTCTCTGGACTTCCAGTCTAATGACCTGAATGCTAGATCTTGCTGCCTTCCTGTAGAGCCCATTACAAGACACTAAACAATTTAGGGGATTAGTGATGGACAACTGGAACCAATTATTTCCAGAATCACAATGTGAATTTGGCCCAGATGGGCACTCATATTGTTATTCTATGGTAGTTAATCACTACTACCCTCTGCAAAATTAATTTTGAGGGGACTTTCCAGTTCTTGGTGGGGATCTAGCTTCTTCAAGGCACTAACTCCTCCCACATCCTCAACCCCTTTAAATTCAGCACAGAGGCTAAGGAGAAAATAGGATGTGGACAATGAACTTGCCTCTCATCTACTTTCTCTGGGGCAAGCCTACACTGTGGCTACCCAGGCTTATTTTACATGTAATTACTCCATATACAGAAGCCTGAGTACTCCTGGGCTCTCAACCTCATTTCTTTCATTAGCATTAAATTCACTTGTATATAAAAAAATGCAATGCATGTTTTCTGAGCCTTTCAGAGCCCAACAGTTGATAGTAATGAACCACATGTGGGGGAATGTGGTGGGAAGCCAACACAGTATGTTCCTTAGCTACATGGTCTTTTTGTTACAGTGTTTTATTGTGAGATTAGTGTATTGTAGCTGCTCTAGGCAAAGACATGTGACCAGCAAAGCATCCAGTTCTCTCTGCAAATATGAACTGGCATTACACACACACACACACACACACACACACACACACACAGCTCATCAGAAAGAATGGAAATGAAAAATAATCCCAAAGCTACATTAAGCTTGGTTGAATTGATTGTATCAGACAGAAAGCAGCAGAGCATAGGATCTGCTGTTAATAAACAATGTCCATTTACATTTTAAGTTCCTTGATGTAAAACCACAAGGGGTTTTTGCTCCTTGAAATTGAAGCAAACAGCTCATAACTGTCATTTTAAAGGCACTGTGTTTAAAGTTGAAGAAAAAAGTGAGGGGGAGATCTAATTAAGTGTATCGTGCTCAATATGATTCTCACCTGCAGGTGTCAGTAGTGCTCTGAAAAGCATTATGTGAGTGACTCAGACCTTTCCCACAGTAAAAGATGAACATAGACATGTGATGAACTGTGAAATAAGATAAGCAGCCTTAATTTAGGGTCTTTCAGCCTAAATGTGTAGTGGGCATTTTCCTCTATGCAGGTGACTCAAGCTTAGCGTAATTTTTTTGTATGTTCAAGGCTGAATTCTTTCAGGGCACTTGAATTGAGATGGATGATATTACAGAGAACAATACAGCTCTCAGCAGCACAAGAGATCCCTAGCAAAGCAATTAAACTGAACACACGCACACACACACACGCACGCACGCGCGCACACATGCACACACACAAGCACGCGCGCACACAGGCACAGATCAACACTTGGATTGGCTACACCAGTTCAATTTATATCCCCCCTGTTGGACACAGGCAATGTTGTTCAGTGGGACTGGGACTACACATGCCTTGGTTTTATTCTTATTCCTAGCTCTCCCACTGATCTGCTGTGACCTTGGTCAATCACATCCTGTGCCACTTCCTTCTTGTTTTGGCCATGGCCACCTGATTCACTCTGGGTTGTACACAACAACTTGCTGTTGATTTTGATTATAATGCAACCAGTTCATGGGCACACAGGATGGGTTGGTTTTGGTGGCAGTCATTCTGGCCCCTGAGAGCTTCATGGCAATATTAGACAAGAGAATCAGGTTCTTTGGGCTTTAAAAGAAGAGTTCTCCTTCGAGCCCAATGAGAACATGTCATTAGCAGGCAGCAGTACTCAGCATAAGGCACATATTTTGCTTCTGTTCAGGAGAGGGTACTGGTATCCACACATGCACATACCTACACCCACACACCAGTCAGCTTATAAAAAAGAAACACTCCCTGTACACTCTATGTAACTTATACAAGTTATATATGAAAATGACAGGGGCAATGTTGAGTAAATAAGAGGAAATCTTTTCCATTGCACATATTCCCCTCTTTCATTAGCACTTGCTTTGGCCATTGAAAGAGAACACTTTGGGGCACACTCAAAATACAGAAGGATTCTTGCAAGCAGGAAGACCATGTAATGGCTGAGTGTCTTCATTCCCTCTGTTCAATGTCTCCCAGGTTCTCGGCAGGGATGCACCGCACATACCGACAGGAATGCACCGCACATACCGAGGGGTAGTGTAATGCAAATTGGAGGCTCTTGGGAAAGAATGGCAGGGGATGCAGACAGTATCGTAGGAAACAAATGGGAAGGCCAGGCTTGTATTGGGCTAAGCTTGTCTTCTGCCTAGATGTTCATGTAGGAAAGTCCTTACATTTATCTCTGTTTTCCTTTACAACTAAATCAGTTAGTTCTCTGTTGAGCTATGTGGACACCCCCATTCTCTTTTGTTTTCTAAGGCAGACATGCTGAAGACATATTTGGAGAACTGTTCAATGAAGCCAATAGTTTCTACATGCGGATGAACTCCCTGCAGGAGAGGGTGGATCTGCTGGTGATCAAGGTCACTCAGTTGGACTCCACTGTGGAGGAAGGTAAGATGGAGCTGGTCAGTAGGAGCTGCCTCTGTTCATCTCTTCTAGTGTGGCTGTGGGATCTAGTAGTTAGTAGAAATTTCAAACTTGGCCCTGTCCTTCCTCTCTATTTCTGTTAGGAGAGCAGCTCATGGAGAGTCAATCCAAAGAAAGAGAGGTTATTAAACTCTTGCCTTAGTGGCTGTTTAAACAGAAATGTATTCTTATTGCTGCTAAGGCTGTGATGGCCACAGCCAAATAAGTTTATAGCTGGGGAGGCAATAAGTAAGGAAGTTCATCATTTCAACACCGAACAAAACATGCCGTTCTGTAAGGAACACAGTGTGTGTGTGGAAATTTTAAAAGGGCATTTTAAGAGCAAAATATACAGACCTGACTCCTGATTCTACTCCGGACATGTGAAGGAGCTAGATGAAAGCACAGGAGAAAGGTGTTCTCTGGCACGTATTCGGCCACCAACATGGAGGCAGTTAGGAACAGCCATTGAATTCCCCTAGTCCAGGGGTTTTCAACCTTTTTTAACAAGTGTACCTCTTTGGTCTCAAAGTTTCAGCTCATGTAGCCCTTTATATTTTTTATTGTTTTTAAAAGGTGGGGGGCAGATTGAGGCCCCGTGGTGAGGGAGGAAGTGGGGCTGGGGCAGGCGCTGCATAGGCAAAGGGAGAAAAAATGTTTTGGGTGACACCCACCCCCCAGCAGGTAAGTTTGTGGGGGAAGGAGCAGGGGGAGGGGAAAGAGCCGTGGGCAGCAGGAGGGGAGAGGGGGGGCAGATTGAGACCTCCACAGTGAGGGAGGGAGCAGGGCACAGGCAGGAGTGGGGCCCTGGCTGGGCTGGGTGATGGGACAAGTGGACACCTGGGGGTGTTTCACTCACCCTAGCCCCTGGAGCCCTGCTCACCCCAGCCCCTCCTCCTGCCCTGCTCCCTCCCTCACCACAGGGGCCTCAGTCTGCCCCTCCCCATACGGTGGTGAGGGAGGGAGTGGGACTGGAGCTCAAGACCCCCACAGTGCAGGAGGGAGTGGGGCAGGGGCAAATCATTCACCCCTACCCCTGCCCCACTCCCTCCTGCACTGTGGGGGTTGTCCCACAACCTGGACTGGTCGGGGCCCCATTCACCGGGAATGGTGCCCCAGACAGGCCAGGTCATGGGACAGTCGGGGCCCAGGGCACAGTGTGGGAGCCTGGCAAGGGGGCACATGCCCCACCTGGGCTCCCCTGCGGTGCACACAGTGGTGAGAGCCACCCACCCGCATCCCTGGACGAGCTGGCAGTGGCACTGGGAGCGGGGCTATGGGAGGGTCTGCAACCACCCCAAAATTCGCCGTAGCCCCCCAACCTCCTCCTAGTGCAGCCCAGCCCAACACCCCCACCAGGAACACCCCAGCACTGCCCTGGCCCTAGCCTGCAGCGGCCCACAGCCTGCCCTGCACTGCGTGCTGATCCAGGGGCACATGCTCCCCATGCCCTCCTGGGGGCATGCAGAGCAGCAGTGCTGGGAGAGGAGGGTGAACGGGAGTGGGCTCGCACTTGGCTGCCACTGCCCTGCTTGGCCGCATGCCATGCCGCTTTCTCCTGGCTGGTTGCGGCTCCAAGGGTTGCTGACGGGCCTCGTGCCCGACCAATCGCGTGCAGCTAGGGGTGGGCACAAAACATGCTCCCCCTCCCTGCCCAACCCTCCCCCCCCACCATTCAGACCCTCACAGCTCTGCTGCAGGGGGTAGTGGCCAATCAGGACAGTGAGCTGAGGTGGGGGGCAGAGAGGTGCCGTGGTGTGCTGCGTGGGGCCGGCGGCACCCGCTGCATCCCTGCCCCGGATAAGAGGCGAACGCACCGGGGCACGGTCCATCCCTGCCCGCCTGTCTGTCCTTGTGCACCCTGTACAACATTTCTAAGTACCCCTGGGGGTACACGTATCCCTGGTTGACAACCCCGGCCCTAGTCCACCTAGCCCAGCATCCTGTTACCAGCAGTAGAGGAAGGTGCAAAAGTTCCTGTGCAAATCAGTTATGCGGTAATTAGCTGACAGGGAAAATCTCTCTCCACCCGCTCCTCCCATCTTCTTAGTTAAAAGTTGTCCCTAAAGCTTTTATATCCTTTCCAAAACTCTGTTGTTTTAAGCCCTTGCTCTTTTAACCCTGAGTAATATAAGTCACATCCACAGGAGCTATTCTTAGCTGATGGAACAGCCTCTTGGGGCTATTGTAGCCAAGCAGAAATTAGAACAACCCTGAGAATAAGAGGTTGATTGCAAAAGTGATCAAGATCATGGCAGGGTGGAGCGGGGAAAGGAGGTGGTATATTCTCTAGCCTGCTGAAATTACTTGGGTGCAAAGAATAACTCCCAAGCATTTTTCTGCCTGAGCTGCAGAAAACAATAACTCAAGACTAACACCACATCCTAAATGGTGAATGCTGAATTCAGCTTGCTAGAAGCCATTCATATGGCCTGTGTTTTTCTCTTTGTTGTGTGTTATTTAAGCTGATCTTTTCTGTGCTGTACTGCTTCAGAGGCAGCACCTTGGGATGTCACAGTTGCTATGGTTATTTATTTCACTAAATTCCTGAAATGCAGGTAACTTGTCAGCACTCCTCACAGGTCCTGTCTCTTAGCTGAGAGTGCAGAGAGTCACTTTTCACTTGGGATCACAGAAAATACTCACCTGGACAAGGAGAACTGGACAGTCTGTCAGTACCTCTGAATGATAACTGAAGAGAAGATCAAAACAGTCCTTTCAGGCTACATCTCCACCTCCTGTGGCCCTAGTGGTTGCTTTTGTAGCCTCCCTTGCTGAATATGTGATGAGAAAATACTGCAGGCAAACGTGTGAACAGTTGTCTTGTTTAGGAGTAGAGAGAACACATGCAGTGGCTTGGTCAGCTTGTTGCATAAGATTGATGTGGGAGAAAAGCATAGGATGGGGTGAGCTGAAAACCTCTTATGGATAAATCGGGGAGATGGACACACAGTTATAGTAGACCACACTTCAAACGTCCTTATGGAGGTGAGAGATGTGAGGACCCTGTGCTGTGGAAGAAACAGGCAAGTCACTGCCAAGTGGGTCACACGTAGGGCACTGTAATACCTAGAGTGCTCTCATGTTGGAATGTGGGGGTAAAACTTGTACATGTGACCCCACTGCTGTCTCCCACAAGTCTCCTCCCTGTGACTTACAGAGCAAAATCACTCTGTTTACACTCAGTCACCAGGAGGGGCATTTTCTAAGTTCCACTGCTGTGTGCAAAGAGGACTTACCTAGGAGCTGGGAGCTGCCTCTGTACATGGCGTGTGCGGTTAAGGGAGTACAGCACACTGCTGCAGAGGGGTACAGTCTGTCTTTCCTTGGCCATTTAGCCTTTGTAATGTGCAGTGGGTCCAGACAGCTTATGCTAACAGGGAATTTCTTTTTGTGTTTGCCTGAAGCAATTCTATAGCTCTCACTGGACACATCTACACGAGGCATTTATTTGCAGAGTTGATTAATTAGCTCCACAGTAAAACATCACTGTCTATGCATGTGGTGCTATTAGAATGGAGTAAACTGATTAACTCCACCACAGGATAGTACTGCCAGACACAAGTACTGGTTTATGGCAGTGTAAGGGTAGACACAGATGGGACTGGCTAGGGCACATGGGTGCTACAGTGCAAGGCTGCTTACTGGCTAGCCCTGCACTGGAGCTCCTCATGCCCTAGCCAGCCCCTCCACAGCCTGCTGAGCCAGGTCGGAGCAGCCCCAGGCTGGCCCCCAGGGTCTCCTGCCGGCTGGGGCTGTGCAGCCTTGGCTTAACATGCTGCGGTCCTGGGTGCATGTGTAAACACTGTGCTTAGGAGCACTAAACTCTGGTGTGAACTGTGCCAGAGTTTATTCAGCCACATTAATTTCATGTGCCTACTGTGACCCAAGACTCAAGGATTAAGACGTCCACTTCCCTTCAAAAGAAGGAAGACAGTGAGACCTCCTAGCAGGGCTGTCACCATATGTGACTATGCATGAGCTCTGATCTGTTCCCTTTGCTTATCCCACTGCTATTTTCCACTCGGTGGGAGCTCCCTCAGCACAACTTACAGGCGAGTTGGCATGTCAGCCTGGCAGAGACAAAGCTTTTGATGGCTCAAGCTGCTGTGCTGGAAGCTTGATTCCCTCTCCCTACCCTATAGTTCTGCCTTTTGTGCCTACACACAGGAGAGGCAGAGGCAAAGGTTGATGAGAAAGGGTGAAAGAGACTGTGAGCAAGTGTGGGGGATTTCAGGAATTCTTCCCAAGGGCTTGGTTTTCAGAGTGAAGCAGTAGAGAGGTAGAAATGGTGGTGCTCTGGGCACCATTAGCATCCAGTGAGCTGGTGTGTTTTTCTGTGCACATACATGAGCTAATACCATTAAATCTGGTTAACATTTTGAATGGATTTGATTTAAGATAGGTGTGTAACTCAAGTGCTGGGCACAGGCCGAGAACATCAGCTGGGCAATGTAGGTGCTGAGCACAGACCACAGAGCAGTGCCCAAATGCCAAAGGTTGAGTGTAAAGGATAGGATGCATTGCAATGGCTGGGTGCCAGGAGCAAAGGCCAGCCTCAGAGCATGGATACTGAGCAAATGGTGTAAGCTTCATGGTGAGAACACAAAGGGCAGTAGTCCCTAACTCTGTTCCTTGGTTCCTTAAAGTTTCCTTCTTGTACTTACAGTTTCGCTGCAGGACATCAACATGCGGAAGGCATTCAAGAGCTCGACTGTGCAGAACCAGCAGGTGGTCTCTCGGAACTCCATCCCCAACCCAGTGATGGAAATGTACCAGCGCTGTGACAAGCCTCCACCACTGAATATCCTCACCCCATACAGGTACAGCATGGGCCCAAGCAAGGCTCTTCATGTACACTATGACTCTAGCTCATGCGACAAGCTGTTCAGTGTAGACCAGACAATTGCCATCCTCCTTTGGAAGAGGTTCTCCTTTAAAATGTGAAGGACCCAGGTTTGTTTTGCCTCATACTGGTTATACCCGAGTATTACTTCATTGCCTTCACTGGTGTTTATTTTGATTTACACCAGCATAAGCAAGATCAGAACCAAGCTGGATACTCTATTCCTGCCATAGGTGACATGTAGGAGGGAATGGGGGGGAGCATGTGCCCCCCCGAGATTGGCTGCTGCCAAAGCTGCCACCAGCTTCTGCACGCAGTTACCGCTTGCTACCCCCTCCCCCCCGGCTCACCGCCACTGACACCACCGCTGGCGTCTGCGGGTGGTCCCCGTTCGCTGCTGCCAACACCACTGCTGGTGTCTGTGGGTGGTTCCTACTTGCCACTCACCAACCCCTCCCCCCCCCACTCACACCACCAACACCACCGCCAGCATCTGTCCCCACTCACCACCAATGCTGGGGCAGTCCCCACTTACCACCAATGCTGCCACCTAGTGGTGCCCGTGCAGTCTTGGGAGCCACCAGTTGTTCATGATTCCTGCTACTCTACTGGGTTTCTTCTGGCGACAGCCCACTGGTGATCTTGTTCTGAGCCACTGTGATTGAGAAACCCTGAGGTCACAGTCACCAGTGAGAGTTATTGGGTGATTACAAGTAAATATCAATTTGCTGTTTGGTGGGTGCACAAGAAATGATGCCCTCTGTGGTGCCTAAGTCCACTGAGGCACCTAACAGATGAAACAGGACAGGGGTGGGCAAAATGGTGGATCTGACTGGTGGCCAGACTCTATTTCTCAGCAGCCCCTGCCTGTGTCATTGCAGCCAGTTTCCAAGGAGACCCCAGCAGTGGTGGGGTCATGACAGTGCGGGGCCAGGATTTCCAAGGAGACCAGCCTCAGCAATGCTGGCAGGGCTCACAGCTGGGTGGGGAGCTGCTCCAGGGCCAGGTCTGGGACTTGCAGTGGTGACGGTGTGCAGCATGTGGGCAGCAGATCTCAGTTCTGCCCCAGCTCCGGACCATGCTGTCACTGCTGCAATATCCCAGCCATGAAGCAGCTTCCTTGTTCCCAATCCACCCTGCAGGCCAGACTTTGCCTGCCCCTAGAATAGGGTTCGGCCTCACAAGTTTGCTTAATACAAATAATAGTCTGTACTTACAGAATGTGCTTTATCCAGTGGTAGACATGAGATAGCATCATTGATCTAAGTTAGAGCAGAAACCCTAAACTTCCCTTGTGTCCCTGGGGAGCAGCAGTAATATCTGAGGCCTTCTCCAAAAAGCTAAAGGGTTTCCTCTTGGCGTCTTCATCAGCCTGTGTATCAGCCATGCCTTAATAAACTACTGACTTTAAAGCCTACAGATTTGTGACTGCATCCCATAAGCAAAATCTTCATTGTAGTGGAAGGGGATTGAAGGAAGAAGTGAGTGGGGAGGAGGAAGGTGAAGGGGATAGGAAGAGAGAAGGGAATAGCAAGCTTCAGGCCAATGCAGAGGGGTCTTGTCTCCATTCACTCATACCCATTGGGGTTATTTTCCCAAGCGCTGAGCACATTCATGTATCATTAGTTATACCATTAAATTAGTAAGAATGTTTGATCCCATTGCTAAGAAATTCCTCTCTCTCTCTCTCTCTCATAATTTCAGAGATGACAAGAAGGACGGCCTCAAATTCTACACTGACCCTTCATATTTCTTCAACTTATGGAAGGAGAAGATGCTGCAGGCAACTGAAGATAAGAGAAAGGAGAAACGCAGGCAAAAGGTAAAGGCAACAGAGAAAGCTCCCAGTCAGGCTGTGATGAGTTCTGGGATCAAGTCTGGAATTAGTTCAGATTCTGACACTATGTGGTTCTAGTTTCTTTCTCCATCTCCTTTCTGTCTCTGGTGCAGGGACAGTATCTCTTTCTGTCATTTGCAAGGTGCCTCTTACCTTTTATCTTCTCCAGTCATAATCTCATGTTTTGACAGTGCTGCTTAGAAAGGGGACTGTTGTGGGGGAGACATATTATTGTCTCAACCAGTGCTTGCATTTGTGGCTTCTGTGGCATTCACAGCCCCAGCCAGACCAAGAGGCTTGGGGCTTTCATATCCCTTTCTATGTGCTAGTCAGCAACTGCAAGGCTTTTACATTCAGGAAACATATAGGTCTCCTACTCCCTAGACTGTAATACATGAACCTCATGAGAGCATTTGTGATGATGCGCCTCTTTGGTGATTTATATCACGCTGTGATCTCAGTCTAACTTTTTATGGTTTAAAAATCATTCAACCTTAGTTGAAGCCTGCTGAATGCTTTGCTTCTCTTTAGTTGGCCCCTGAGAGCAGAGACACAAAGGAAATCAGGGTTTCAGCTGTAGTGAACAGATCCCTTTCCACTTACACCATTGCCCTTATGATGTGGACAAGTACTCTGCACAGTAAGAGAATAGGTATAAAGCCTGTTTCTCTACTTCACCACTCCTCTCTCACAACTGGATGTTGCTGCCTCCTCTCTTATCCCATTTGTTTTGGTTAATGGCAGATACAAAAGCACTCTAAGGTACAAAAGCACTCTAAGTAGGGCTGGATTAATTAAGTCTAAAGGCTTGGCTAGTTCAAGTAGTAAAGGTTTACTCATAAGAGTTTCTTATCCACCCTAAAGCTGTTATCTGCAGCAAGCCTGAGTAGACCTGAATTTCTAGGTTCAGTTTTCTGGCTTGTCAGTACTGTGGTTCAGGCTTCCAAATCTGTGGGTAGGTTGGACCTGTTATCCCACAGAAGACCTCTAGGATTTATGAGAACCAAAATTCTCACAAGTGGTGGTACCAGTAGATTACACATATGCTATACTAGATATTGCTCACAGTTTTCCTTTCAACTATATGTGCACTGGGCTGGTCCAAGCTCAGCCTTGTGACTGAGTGATTGGCATCTAGGTCAGATCAGCTTTGGATGGGCTGGGACATGGATACATGAATAGACAGCAGGACTTGTGGATCAGGAAAGGATCAGGAACTTAGAAAGAATAGCAAAAGCTACTAAAGGACTACCTCATGGTGATGGGGAACCATGATCTAGAACAACGTGAATTTCAGCATTGTTCGATATCGTCGTTACCCTCATCCACATAGTCTAAACTCCTTGTGTGTCATCCAGCTCAGACATACACAGCACTATATACAGCTGTTAGGCAATCACCCTACAGACCTGTTAAAAGAAAGGTGTTTATTTGCTTCTAGGAGCAGCGGTTAGTAGAAGATTCCACTCGGGAGGTCAAGAAAGTGAGAAAAGCCCGTAACCGGCGACTGGAGTGGAACATGATGGCATATGATAAAGAATTCCGACCCGATAACAGGTTCTCACCATCCCCATATCACATGGCCTCATCGGAAGGATCACTGTCCCCAGATAATAGGCAGGTTTTATGTATTACACATTTAGCCCATTGTTTTTTATTTTGCTTTTCTTCACTTTTTCTTTTCCTTTTCAGTTTTCTGGGTATATTGATTGCTCATGACAGTGAAGGACTCTTAGTGCTGGCTAGGAAGCAGGTTTAGGGAAGGCAGGCATTGTGCCAACAACGCCCCCAGCCCACTGCACCTCTACCCTAATGTGCACTGCCACCTGCTGGTTTGGACCTGAGCCTGACAAATCATGTCTCATGTAACATGGGTTTTGTGACCTCCTTGTGGACAGGCAATAATATGAGACATTTCCATTTGGGACCTAAACTAAATCTGCAGAGGTGTCAGGCTGGTTCATTACCCTGCAGAACTCTTATTGTCTCCCTACTCTGCTTGTACTGCCCCAATACTGCCTTGTATGTTTGTACAGCAAAAGCTCTGTTATCTGGCATCCCCCAGGAATGGGGAATGCTGGTTAATCAAATATGCCGGTTAAAAACTCAAATGTGCACTGTCTGGTGTACTCCCTGGTGTCAGTGTGCCAGGGGACAGGGAGGGGGCCCCTGCACAGGCTGCTTTGCCCTGCACAGGCTGCTGTGCTCCTGGCCGTGGGCTGAAGAAGTGAAGGAGAAGAACTCGGCTCATAGCCGAAAGCAGAAGTGGGACTTCCAGTTTCGCTTTTACCGTGTCCTTCAGATGCCGGTTAGTGGAGCTTTCCGGTTGATAAAGTGCTGGATAACACAGCTTTTGCTGTACTTTGTGGCAACACCTCCCATCTCCCTGTGTTGATGCCTTGAGCCCAAATGCCAATAGGTTCCATCATAATCCCCTTGACCTCTCCCAACTTCACTTTCCATTCCTGCCCTCCATCCAGGAATACAACCTTTGATATTTTTGTGTGCAACAGATCTTATGCATCAGATGCAGCTGATCACTCATACCCTGCCAGCCCTAACCACCCTGCACAACAGATACTAGCTCCAGCATCGCATCTGTCAACAGACAACAAAGAGGTCATTCTAGTGGCCAACCAGGCCCAGGAACATGTATACAGACCTTCAGCAGCGGGAAGTCGACAGAACAGTCTCAACCGTGTCCAGCAGCCCCATGTGCCACAACCTCCAGAGACTATACTGAATGGACCAAGACCTCAGATAGTCAAAGAGTATGGGTATGGAATTCAACTTTCTTTCCTTCATTATGAGACCTGTTTTTCCCCTTTTAAAATGAGTGTAGTGCTTTGAAAAGGTGACATCAATTGCTCTGGAAAGGGAGGCCCTCTATTTATGACAAGCATAAGCTAGGCAGCAATTGTCACATAGGCTAGCCCTCTGGCAGTCCCCTCAGCCTTCTTGAGGGGAGACACAGTAATTCAGCCTCCAGTGCCCATTCATTCCTTCAGCCCTCTTGTCAGGAGGTTGAAGAACACCAGTTATGGCTGTCTGTGAGGGTGGTTTATGTGAAGTCAACACATGTCTAAAAAGAACAGTACTGGAAAAACTACCATCTCCTTTCACCACAGTGCTCAGTTAATGAGAATTTTGGCCTGGTTCAAGACTGGTCTGAAATCTGATTAGTAGTCCACAACTGAGACGTTCTCTGCATTATTCCCAGTCCCCTGACCCATCCAGCCCTCTCCCAGCAGTTAGCATCATCCAAATAGAGGATAGCCTTTATCATTACCCAAACAGAAACTGATGCTAAAACAGTCATGCACAGGTTCAAGTTCCAATCTCAGTCACTTCTCTGTACTATTGTTGTAACAAGGGCCTGCTCCAGGGGCAGCCATGAAGCCCCCTGGTGGCTGCTTAGCCTCTGTTCCACCTTGTTCTTGAGGCCACCTCCCCTTTTGCTCATCTGCCATGCCTTAATGTGAATATATATTTAGAAACGAGCCCAGGGATCCCTGAGCAAGAGCTCATCCATTCACAAGCTATGGTCTAATTGCTCATCCCTTAAGGGCTAATTTTGTGGCCCCATCATCTCCCCTTCCAGGCATGCCCAAGCCTTGCATATATTACCAATCAATCAATTCAGTGGCTTCTCTAGCCCTGTCTCTGCCTCCCTCTGGATGCTGGGCGCTCTCTAGCCCCATCTCTGCCCCTGTCTGCACATTGGGCTCTCTCTAGCAACATATCCGTTTCTCTCTATTCCCTACTTGCAGGCTTTGGCCTTGATTCCAGGCATGTTACCTGCTCAGCCCTGTTCCCAGACTCTGGCCCTGCTCCTAGGCCTGCTGGGCCCTCCCATCTCCCCCACTAGTCCTAACCCCCAAACCACGGGTGCTCTCCAGGCAAGTCCACACTATTGTACTTACCTGTCCTGCTCCTGGGCTCAAGGTATCCCTGGTGTAAGTTAGGGGCTCCTCTGGTGGCCTCCTGCTCAGGAGCAATTTCTCCCATGACCTCCAGGACCAGACTGCCTGCTGCAGCTCAGGCCCTGGGCTTATATATTCTCTAAACCTGCCCCCCTTCCATTCCTCTTCCCTTGAGTGCCACCTAAGCCCTGTCTGCAGACTTTCTCCTCTTAAAGTAACAGGAGCTCCCTATTACAACCATACAACTGAGTGCAAAGGTATGTTTGAGAGCAGAATTCAGATCAAGATGGTTGTTGTCCACTCGGAGATGGGAGCATGGCCTGAAAGCTGTTCAGAACCTTGGACAGCTTTCTATTAGCATTTGTGTAGGAGACACCTGGCCTGTTCTGCAAGCCTTTGTCTTCCTGTTTCTCTGTGCACTTCAGCCTCCTATGGAAGATCTTACCCCAGAGGCAAAATATAGAGCAAAGCACAGGATTAAAAATAATTCATCATGTTCATTTGAAATATGACCATAGTCCTCCATTTGGACTTCAAGTACCATTGTGTGTATATCTGGCCAGTTTCCTCTTTAAGTAAAACTATTTCAGCCTTCAGAGCTCTATATGCAAAGTTTTCTGTACCAAATAAGTGGGATTATTTACATTGACACAGTGCTTCTCCTAGTCCAGCATCACTTTGGACATCGAGGAGGCTTGATGCCAGATGCTTTAGGGAAAAGTATAAACTCATCTGATCTTAAAAATTAATCTAATGGCACAATCCTATACAATGGGAAGGAAATGTATTCCTCCCTTGAGATGCCAAATAAACCCTGAAGTGTGAGGACTGGTGGCTGTTGTAACTCTCACCTTGCTGGTATAATGGCAAATGCTGTTTCTGGCAAGATGCAGTGAGATGACTTGCTTTTTGAATGAATGTATAGGGCCTCATTGCAACACTATTACCCAACCCTTTGAAACTCCACAGGCCAAAAGACATTTTTCAAATAACAGCTAGGTGATATTTTTTCTTTTTGGTGCAGCATTCAGAGTGTGAGGCTGTGAGCCCTTGTCACAGCAATTGCTTCTCAGGAACACGATGGATTCAGCCAGAACTCTGTGTTCCCTTGACTTTTTCTATGTTTAAATCATCAGACATTGAATGTGTTTCCAGCATAGCTTTTCAAAGGGGAATATGAAAATCAGGTGTCTCTTGACCAGAAGAAATGAAACCTTCCAAGAATATTGAATCTGCTTTGATTAGAGTCTCAGTTCCCATCAGGTTCTATTAGCTTCCATACTCTAGTTTGTATTATCCAATTTTTGCTTCTCTGTCTACTCTTCCTCTTCACTCCCCACATATATCCCACACACATTTTAAATACTCAATGAGTGACACACCAGTGCAAGATGCTTTTGTACTGCTTACACCTCCCTTTTCTGACCTATCTCCATGGCCTTGACACTTCCTTAGCAGTTACACTTGCTTGACCCAGGTCTGGATTTCGGCCCAGTATATCCACCTGCAAAGGCCACGTTCCGTGTAGTTTGTATGTGTGTGCGTCTTTCAGGACACAGATAAGATAAATAGATAAGAATCACTTTAAAGGCAGCCACCTCTGCAATAAACAGGGCAGCTGGTTCATAGCTGCACCAAGCAATAGTTTAGATCAGAAAGCAGAGACAAATGCCCATGTTGGCTGCAGCCCAAACTGAGTTGGGATCTGGCTGGGATGGTATTAAGGTAGGTGGCAGTGAGTGGAGTGTCCTTGGTTTTCTCTCTCCTCTGAAAGGTTATTGACGCATAGGATCTGTTTCAGTGAGAATGATTCCACTATTGCTATTGATTTGCTTTCTGTTCTTTAATTGTTGCAGCCAACAGCAGATGCCCATGGCAGAATACTTCGTGCCTCCTGCTCCTCCGCCCCCACCCCCTGTGATACCTTCTGCTCAGACTGCCTTCGACAGCCCCATCTCAGCACCCCCCACTCTGGCTACCAGTGCCACAGCTTCCATAGCTCACTCGTCCTATGCACCTTCCCCACCTCCGGCTCCGCCCTGCCCATATTCTGCTTCTCCTCCTCAGACTGGCCCCATGGGCCCCCCTGTTGCCCCTCCCCCTCCTCCACCTGGCCCCCCAACAGTCACTGCTTCACCAGCTCACTCAGCATCACCCCCCACCGTTACGGGTGAGCCTCGGAAACCTCAGATCCCTCTGATACCAATGAGCGATGCCAGGAGCGACCTGCTTGCTGCGATTCGTAGGGGTGAGTTACATCCCTGGACATCAGCACTGGCCTTACAGGAGTGAGTGTGAGTGGGGCAGCAAGTTCTGTTGAGACTGCAAGAGAAGTGCAGAAGAATGGGGGGCAACTGCAGAGAGAGACCTGCACTCCAGAGGCCTGGTCCAAAGCCCATTTAAGTCCAGGGAAGGTCCTCTACTGGACAGAGGTGAAGCAGATTTTGTTGGTGACAGGGCTGGTTAAGAAAAACAAAATCCAATACATGGCTTCAAATGTGATAGAGGAATTATTTAGGGTAGCAGGAGTAGGAGACAGAGCGTGAAAAAGAGCAAAAAGACTATTTAATTTGTATTTCAGAAAAAAAAAAAATACTCCTCACATTGAAGTGTTTAGCCTTTCAGAATAACTGGTAGAAGTCCCATCACATGGGGTACCTGACATTGGACCCTATAGAGAACTTGAAAATATCTAGTAAGGATCAAATTTACATTAGCTACCTTGAGGATCCTAGTGGATAGTATGGGCACACATACTCTAATAGGTCTTTTCCACCTCCACTTTCTACAGAGCCACAGGCTGAATAATAGTAATGGAGACAGGCAGTGGCTTTGGAGTCCTGGTAGTGCCTTGGTGTGTGTTTGTGTGTGCATGTGCTATGAGGTGTCCTTCACTGAAGGCACTGTGTTTTCATCTCTGGAGATCTCTGGTTCAATCTACTGTTTCAGCCAATATGACAGCCATCAAGCACACTCATAGGTCAACTGGTAGCAAGCTGGTCTTGCTGACCTTAATGGTTTTTGATCTTTCTTTAATGCAGGAATTCAACTCCGAAAAGTCCAGGAACAGTGGGAGCAGGAGGCAAAGAAGGAACCAGTTGGCAATGATGTGGCTACCATCCTCTCCCGCAGGATCGCGGTGGAGTACAGTGAATCTGACGATGACTCAGAATTGGACGATAACGAGTGGTCAGATTGAGAAAGCTGGAATGCAGTGTTGGACTGTCTCTCTCCCACTTCCTATGTGCCACTTTTCTGCAAGCAGGTGTGTATTAGTGGGCTTCCCCAAAAGTAAATACTGAAAGCCATCAGCAGTTATGGTAGTGTGACTTGCTTTTATGCTCTGTTGCATTGTTTAAAGAAATTACAGTATCATCACCATTGGTGAGTGCATTGGGGGAATGCACTTTAGAAGCAGGATAACCAAAATTTGCCCATAATAGCACCAGGAGTAAACACAATACTTCAGTCTTTAATAATGCTGAAAAACACCACCGGGCCAGGATCAATGGAGTTACTCTAGATTTATACAGGTGTGACAGAGATCAGAAGCTAGCCCCAGATGTGCATTTTTAGAGAAGAAATTGCACAGGCAGCACTGCTTATTCAGCTAGATGTTAATTGTGTAATGAAAAACTCCTGGAAAAGAATCACGTTCCCTTAGAAAACCCAACCACATGGTTATAGATGTCTAGAGACCACTGTTCACTTGTTTGTGTTTTGCTCAGAGCTTTGAAATTCTGGGACTATGGGCCTCATGACCAGGGACAATCTGTGTTCATTGCTCTGCCAATTACTGACAAGAAGTGTTTGTTTTTGTCATTCACTTTGCTTTGCAACAGTCACAAAGGAGAGTTCAGTGCCATATCCCACTGTCACTTTTAAAAGCACTTCATGAGTAGGCTGAGATGTTTATGGTGTGCTTAAATTTCCATCTTGACACTCAGGTTCCCTGGAGAAAAGTGTGAAGGGGAAGTTCAGGATAAACCATAGAACCAGCTGTCCTTTTGCAGCCAATAAAGAAACAACACTCTTGTTACTGCTTTGAATGGTGTAAGGCATATTGCAGGTGCAAAAGAGTGAGCAATTTAATTTAAGCTGTCTAGAGAAGATTCTGATGGCCCTGAAATGAATGGCTATTTGAACTGTTTTAATTTGCTATTTGCAATGAAACTCACTGAGCAAACTGGTGCTCTTAAGCCACCTGTTTGAAATACACAGTGAGCAATAGTTGTCCTTTTGGGTTGATTTTGTTTTTCACTCTCTAGCACTAGAGGATATGCCTGCATGATGTGAGGTTAACTCAGGCTTACTACAGAAGGAAAGGGTTAATGAGGGCCCAGTTCTTCCACTCCAGTGATGGAGTACAGCTAACCTCATGATAACAAGTAAAACTTGGCAAAATAGGGTCCTGGGTTATAAAGCTGAAAATAGCACCTTGGTTTAATTAAAATAGAAAGCAGCTTATTGAAGTATTTGCGTGCAGATATTAAGGGAGAAGACACTGGAAGCCAACAGGATCCTGCATGAAATACTGAAAATTGCAGCCAGTCACAACTCTAGGAGAATGTGAAATGCATTCTGCTGCATAGAAAACAAGCTAGTGGCAATCTAGATTCTGATTGCAGTATGTGGCCATATAAGGCCCATGTACTGTAGGGGACCTAAGCTCATCAGTGAGAACTCCATTCTCACTTCCCTTGACTGCAGTCCCATCTCCCATCTGACTTTAGAGTCCTGGATGGTAGAGGAAGTTGAACTCTCTTTCTGATGGGAATCTTGCACTTGGGTCCACCTCCTGGCTTTTAGTCCATGACAAATGGAGGATACAGACAGGTAAGAGTCAGCCGCAGTGTTAGTGCTCCATTCTCTGGAGGTAGAGAGACTAGGTGAGAGATGGAGAGGGTGTGGTTGGAGTCCACAAGTGTCATTGCACACAGAGCACCATTTAGCTAGTGCAAAAACTCACCCTCAGTAACTTGGTAATGTTAGTGCTGAGCTGTACTCCAGGTATTCAGCTGTTTTCCTCCCAGAGAGGAACTTGTTCTTGTTGCAGACTGTATTCATTATGTCTCAATCACAGCCATCCTCTGGCAATTGGTGGTCCTCATAACTAACAGCTCCTTTGCTAAAAGGTTATGTGTTCTTCAGGACCTTGATTCTCCTGCTATGTGCTCATGAGCAGTAACAACTATTTTCAAGGAGGCCATTACTTGCTTTGTCTAATGAAATTATAGCCTGTCCCATGGGTTTAACCATATCCAACTGCTCCCATCCCAGTACCTCCTTTAGACCATTAAGGATTGGTTTGTGGCGCTGTGAGATCTAGGCATGCCACATTCTCTTCCTTCTCCAGCAAATGTGTGAATCAGTCTGTGGGACTGAGTATTTGGTAGTGCTGTGTGGTCTAAATGAATTTTTTCATGTGACTGTGTTGGGGAGAAGAGCTCAAGAAATAGTGCTAGTGCACAGGACTGCTTGTAATATATTGTACAGAAGTTTGTGGGTTGGCACATCCATTTCTGGGAGTGGCAAATGGTACCTTTGAAGGGGGTCCCGATGGGTTGAAGCACAGTAAGCTACTATGTGAATGACCTCTTGAGGCACAGTAAGCTACTATGTGAATGACTCTCCAGTACTAACCATGTATCTTAAACTAAATCTGAAAGGCTTTTGGGGTAAGGGGTGGAGGGTGGAGTTTCCTCTTCTCTTAAGCAAATCTCTGTTTGACTTTCATCAGACTGTGCGTCTGAGTGAGAGTTGTACATCACGTCCTTGTATTTTATCTTTGAACCTCATGTCATGATAGTGTTACTGATATGTTTATTCCTCAAACACCTGCTCCTGCTTTGCTCATTAAAACCTGGTCTAAAGTCCAATGAGATCGGACTGCTACTAACAAGACATGTTATGGCTGAAGTGTGGTCAACACTTACGTTCTTATGTGAGGGTCCCAGGAACATAGGATGAACCACGCTAGGTAGGATCCCAGGTCCTTCAAGTGCAATATCTGGTCTTCAGCAGCAGCCAGAACAGAAAATAGTGATAGCTATAGGTGATAGAAAATCCCCATAATGCAGTTAGCTGGTTTTTACAGAAACAAGGGAGAGAAATAAGGAAGTTCCCTATATGAACTGAATAGCAATAGTTCCTGATACAGATGACATCCCAGCCAAAGGGAAGGACAAGAAAAACAAGACAAGCACCCAGTAAAATGCAGCACACCCTCCCAACAGCATTGACCCAGAAGAGAACAGCTCACATGCAAAGCCTCTGGAGGAGGGAATGTTTAGCTGATTTGGAAGGAGCAGCAGAGCTGCTCTGGACACCACCCTCACTCTGCCACTGTCCCCCTGAGCAGTGGAAGAGACAGAGACAGCAAACCGCTGAGTAAATTAGTAGTCAAAACCCGATGTCTTTGCTCAAGCAAAGGAATGCTGAAAGTGATGGAGATATTTTCCTCAGTGAGGTGGACAGGACTTGACCTTATGACAAGATAAGAAAAGGCCTTGTTGGTTGAAAGTAACATTTAAACAATCGCATATAAGTATTTATTGTATAGTGTTGTTAATATATGTGTGGTTTTGATATGATACATACATGAAAAGAAATACCAGATATAAGGTTTTTATTTGTAAAATGAAAATATATATGTATATAATATAGAGAGATAGAGAGGGGAATAATGAAGACATGTATTAATTGCCTTTATCTTTTATATTCATTCTATATTTATTTCATTTGGGCCACAGGGCTGTGATTAAGCAGTGATGAGGTGGGGAAACAAACCCTGAGCATTTCCCCCTGTCAGTATGGGTAGAGGCAAGGAGACAGACAGGCATTTGGGCAGGAGGGCTAAACCGCTCCTTGCTATGTTTGACTGGCCAGTAGGAATGGGACGGACTGATGAGGGACTTCCCTTTCTAACTCTTTGCAAGGGCTGGGCATGATGCCTGCCCTACCGTAGTGGGTTTCTAAGATTGGAGCAATCTTATGAAGAGTGGCCAGCTGGACTTTGCAAGGTGTGTGGTGCAGAGCTGTAGGCACAATGCCTCAGAGCAGTGATTCTCAGCCAGGCTGCTGGGGCACCCTGGGGTGCTGCGAGGTCCTTGAAGAGTGCTGCAGAAAGTATGAGGAGATCGGTAGATAAGGGCAGGCTCTGACTCTCCCTGCCTGGTTGCTCCCCACCCCCACTGCTAGGCCTGTCTGCAAGAAGGTAAGCACTGTAATAAATAAGTTAGCTTTTTAAATGGGTGTCAGTCAATTCACAAAAGTTATGGAGGGGCCTTGAGTCTAGTGCAGAGTGCCTTGAGTCTAAAAAGGTTGAGAACCACTGCCTTAGAGAATGGCCTACAGAGACTAGTGCCACATACTGGGCCAGGGGCTTAACACTGCAGAACCTGATTCTGCTCCTCTTACACTAGTTTTGTACCTGGCTAATGCCATTACCTTCATGCCCCCAGATTACACTTGTTTTTCTGACACCATAATCAGGCCCACAGACTTGCCCAGAGATTGTCCACTCAGTGACAGATCCTGCCTGTTTTATTCAGGCTAATACCAGTGAAGGTCATGGAAGTTGCTTACTAGGACTTATTAGGCCCAAGCTAGCCCAGCCAGACCAGGGCAGGATTGTTCCCTGTAGTATATATCCTAGTACAGAGATGTGTAGTGATTTTATTTTGGGGGGTGGCATTAGCCAACTTCCTGAAATGGCCTCTTGGTTGTTATGCAATATCCTTAGGAGCACTTAGGGCAAGGTGTTCATCTGAGATATTTAAAAAAATGATATATAGTAAGTGTGTGTGTGTGTGTGTGTGTGTGTGTGTGTGTGTGTGTTGTTTGCAGAGATACAGTGCAACATCAAACTCTCTCTGTTCATGAGAGCCACAGGAGCCCAGTGGACTGGCTTTTGCTTCCATATTTATTTCCATTCCGGTACCATACGTTCCCCTCTTCTCTCTCATAAATTCCACCTGATTCTTAGCACTTGCTGATGGCCTTTTACTGCAGCTCTGTTTAGAAAAGTTCCTCCCCCTTGTAAATGAGCTTATTTTATACAAAAACGTTCCAAAGGCAAAGCAGGAGGAATCATGACTCAGGCGTCTCATCCATCCGTGTAGAAGACATGATGGGCCAGATCCCCAGCTGGTGGGAACTGGCTTAGCTCTATAAAGTTACACTGTTTTGTGTCATCTAAAAATCTAGCCATCTAGAGTACATTTTCTATGGGCCAAATCCTATGAAGGGAGGGGGGATCATTTGCCATTGACTTGCGGGGCTCAGCACCTTACATAATCAAGAACATTGCATATTTTTAGGCAGTATTAAGGCAGACAAGGTTCCTTGGGTGAATTTGATAACTTTTATTAGACCAACCCAAATAGTTGGAGAATAGTTATTAAGCAAGCGTTCGGGTTCAAAAACCCTTCGTCAGGCTAAGGATGTTTCAGCAGTTGGTGTGTGCTCTTCCTGGATGGAATGAAAAGTAAAGAAGCCAGGGGCTGGGCTGGGGAGTCAGTTGCCAGGCAGATTATTGAACCCTAATAACTATTGCCTAATAACTATTCTCCAACTATTTGGGTTGGTCTAATAAAAGTTATCAAATTCACCCAAGGAACCTTGTCTGCCTATGTCCTTAGACCAACATGGCTACAACCTACACCTAGGCAGTATTAATACACTTTTGTTCCAAATTCTGTTAGGTATTAAATAGGTAGAAGACCAGATCCTTCATTAGGATGTATCAGTGTAGCTCCAATGAAGTCAATGGTGTTATGGTAATTCAGCTGAAAACCTAGTTCATAAGCTTAGTGTTAAATATTGTGTGTATATATGCTTATTTCCATACACACTACCACAAGTAGGCCAGGCTATATTATACAACCTGAAACATCTAAATCCCAATGTGGCACAATATAAAAGTGAATATTTAAATATTTTATCTAGTTTGGTAGCCATTAAAGATACAATCCAGGTCACAGCTGATTAAATTTCTACTCTCTGTCAAGTACATCAGAAGCAAGCTGAGCAAAATCTACCGTACATTGAGATATAATGTTTCATGTTAAAATATAGCCAGATAGTTTAGTGCCAACACACAGTCGCACAGTGCCAAACGTTTAACAAACCAGATCTATCTGTTGAGAGCTCTTGTTTCTATTTTATCAGTCCTGTCATGCCTGCCAATCTATGGACATAGATTAAAAATTGAAAATAAAAGATTCCTAACAGGAGAAGCTGTATGTGGTATATTTACCATGTGAGATATACTGAAGTCAGTTAAACACACTCTTTGAAACCTGCTTATGGGGCATTATTTGTAGTTTCTGGTCCATGAAGCTCACTGAGGACCTCTTTCTGCAAATCTGAGTTACATGGGAAGTGATCCCGTACTCTGCAGCTACCATACAGGAGGTCTGGTGCCTGTGGCTCATCATGATATTGTAGTCTGGGACAGGTCCTGCTGAAGTCAGTGAAAGTACAGTGGAGTTTGGGTACAAGGATTGTACCCAATCTTTCTCCTTTTTTTAGTGGCAACTGAATCAGGCTTGTGATACTTGTGGCAACTGGATCTCCTCATTGGATTGGTGACCTGAAAGAAAAGGGATTGTTTATTTTCAAACCTACCACTG